TTCATAGATAATCTTGATCATAAACCCACAATTCATCGGTCTCAACAAACACACCGCAAAAAGAAGATTACATTGAATAGATCTCCACAAGAGAGGGGGAGAACGTTGTATTGAGATCCAAAAAGAGAGAAGAAGCCATCTAGCTAATAACTATGGACCCGAAGGTCTGAGGTAAACTAGTCACACTTCATCGGAGAGGCTATGGTGTTGATGTAGAAGCCCTCCGTGATGGATGCCCCCTCCGGCGGAGCTCCGGAACAGGCCCCAAGATGGGATCTCGTGGATACAGAAGGTTGCGGCGGTGGAATTAGGTTTTTGGCTCTGTATCTGATCGTTTGGGGGTACGTAGGTATATATAGGAGGAAGGAGTACGTCGGTGGAGCAACAGGGGGCCCACGAGGGTGGAGGGCGCGCCTGGGGGGGGGGGGTAGGCGCGTCCCCGTACCTCATGGCTTCCTCCTTTATTTCTTGGCGTAGGGTCCAAATCTCCTGGATCATGTTCATTCCGAAAATCACGTTCCCGAAGGTTTCATTCCGTTTGGACTCCGTTTGATATTCCTTTTCTGCGAAACTCTGAAATAGGCAAAAAACAGCAATTCTGGGCTGGGCCTCCGATTAATAGGTTAGTCCCAAAAATAATATATAAGTGGATAATAAAGCCCAATAATGTCCAAAACAGTAGATAATATAGCATGGAGCTATCAAAAATTATAGATACATTGGAGAGGTATCACTATTAATAGGTTCATTTCTACTATTTGTCTTCAAAGCCCCTGGGTTTTGAAGACTCTCATAAAAATCGCCTATTCACCCCCCCTCTAGTCGATAACTAGCACTTTCAGTTGGTATCAGAGCAAGGTGCTCCCTTGTTCTGTGTGATTCAGTTTAACCACCTAGAGTTTTAGCTATGTCGACTGCAGGGATAATCAAAGTCTCTGCTGCGTGCCCTGTCTTCGATGGCACTGAGTACCCGTACTAGAAGAATAAGATGCACATGCATCTTGAAGCCATTGATGTCGACCTCTGTTTTGTCGTCAAGAATGGTGTTCCCAAGGCCGGTGAAGGCGTCACCCCAGCTGATGTCAAGAAGTTCATTCAACTGGATTCTACTGCCAAGAACATCATTTGTGGTCATCTGACCAAAGGACAGTATGGTCGTGTGAGTGCTCTGGAAACTGCAAAGCTAGTCTGGGACTAGCTCTCCAAGGTCAATGAAGGCATCTCAACCCAGAGAGACTCAAGGATCAGTGTTCTTCGCAATCTCTTCAACCGCTTCAAGAGAAATGACAATGAGAATGTTCAGCTGACGTTTGATCGCCTCACTAATATCACAAATGAGCTTTATGCACTCGGCACCACTGAAATCACCAAGCATGAAATCGTCAAGACACTCTTGAGATCACTCGACAGCTCATTTGACACCCTGGCCCTGATGATTCAAGAACGCCCTGACTTCAAGACTCTCGATCCGTCTGACATACGTGAGAGGCTCAACACACATGAGTTCCAGCTATCTGAGAAAAGTGATATCTATGGTCCCAACTATGGCCGAGCTCGTGCCTTGAAGGCAAAGGCTGTTTCCTCATCTGAAGAAGAATCTGACTACAGTTCTAAGGATCTTGAAGACATTGGAAAGGAGCTTGCCATGCTCGTGAAGAAGTTCCAAAGGTTCACTAGGAAGAAAGGCTCCAGATAGTCTTCAAGATCCAGCTCAAGAAATGATGAAGCTTCTTCCCGTGAGTACAAGAAGAGAACGTGTCACAAGTGCAAGAAACCTGGACACTACATCTCTGAATGTCCTCAATGGGACAATGAGAACAACAAGAAGAATAAGAGCAAGGAATATGATTCTGATGACAAGAAAAAGAAGAAATCCGCAAAGTCTTCTTCTAAGTCTTCGTTAAAGTCTTCATCACACAAGAAGAGCTCATCTAGCAAGGGTCGTGCATTTGTTGGCAAGGAAATGGATTCAGAGGAGTCTGCATCTGAGGAGGTGGAGATGGAGTCTGAAGAGGAATCTGATTCAGGCGTGGCAAGCCTGGCTTTAGCTTCAGCGTACGCCGCCAAGTCCATCTTCAACACTGAAGACGATGGCCTCATCACCAACGCTGATGCTAAAGAAGATGACTATGCACCCACCTACTGCTTCATGGCATGTGGTGCCAAGGTAAACTCACGCGATGCTCACTATCAAACATCCAGTGAAGATGACTCTGAATGTAAATCTAAACCTAGCTAAACCCTTGCTAAAATTGCAACACTGCAACAGACCGCTATGGAACATATTCAAAAACTGTTAGATAAAAGCGATGACCTATTGGACGCAGAAATGACTCGAACTCAGTCCTTCATTGAAGACATTAAAAATCTTCATGTTAAGTACGAAGAACTTGAAAGTCGTCATGAAACGCTCTCAACTACTCATGAAAAGCTCACCTACGATTATCTTCAAAGGAAGCAAGAACTTGAGAAATTGAGAGCGGCTCATGAAGATCTTCAAAAAGAGAATGAGTCATTTCGCGCTCAATAGATCAGTCCCGCTCAGGAAGGATTTGAACCACCATGTCTAAAATGCCTTGAGCGTGATAACGCTACTTCTATTTCTGGATGTTCTACTGCTACTGTTATTGCAATATCTTCAACTGCTGATGTGGTAACTAACCCCTCTGCTGAGGATACCACTACTATTGCTGATGAGAATGCTAGGTTGAATACATTGTTTGAGACAGGAATGTACAAGAGTCTCAAAGGGCATCACAAACTATGTGATGTCCTCAAGAAACAGATTCTGAACCGAAACCCTAGGAAAGAGGGTGTTGGGTTTGAGAGGAAAATGAATGTTGATGGTTCTTACTGGAAGCCTGAGCAGTACCCCAAAACCACATGGGTTGCTGCAAAGGGACCTTCAGTGGATCCATCTACCTTATCTGGCTTCACTTGTGCTAACCCGATTATCATTGATGAATCATTTGATGCAAACTATAAACTGTTTAAGAATCATAACGGTGAAGTGTTTGCCAGGTATATTGGTACTAACTGCAGGAATGGACCACCTTTGAAGAATATATGGGTGCCCAAGAGTTGTATTGAAAATCTTTAGGTGAAAGTCATCATGACACCACCTGGGAAGAAGACAAACCCCAGACCAAAGGCTTCACATGGTCCAAAGGCTTCATACAGACAGAGGACTCACCAGAGTCGCCCTAACACAAATGTTTTGCATGGAAACCATACTCAGGCCTATGAATATGAGCGTGTTTTATCAAACCGCCATGTTCATAAGACCAAGAACTACTCTACTTATTCTTATGAGTATTATTCACCTCCTGCAATACTATTTGCTAGATGTAGACACACTGTCAGAAGTAGTTCCTTTACTCGGAGCCTCACTTGCATCTCTCATTCTTACATCCTGTCCAGGTACAGTATTGGCTGGTGCTACCACACTCGCATTGTCCTTTGTTATCGTTCCTCCCTGTTGGGTTATATAGTGCATTAAAACACCAACTTCCATTATTCGAGGCATTGGGGGCTGCAGGCTGCATGTTGCGTCCCCTACCCCTACCTAGACCTCTGCCAAATCCTCTTCCCCCTTCATACAAATCATCGTCCATCTCACTTCGCCTACCTCCACTCCCTCGGCCTCCACGGCCTCCTCCTCTACCTCTCCTTGGTGCCAGTATGAAGTCACCCCATTCAAATTTTGTTTTGTCATGCTCACCCGTGCCGCATTCTTCATGCTAGTGCCCCATGAATCCACAATGATTACAAAAAGTTGGAAGCTTCTCAAATTTAACTAGGTACTTCTCAGTTTCTCCAGCCCTCGTTATCCCAACAGCTCGTATTAATTTCTTATTCACATCCAATCTCACCCTGACATGGATGAATTGGCCTATAAATCCATTAGGCAGAGTTACTTGGACCTCTTGCACTTCTCCAATCCTACTGGCTAGATTCTTCAACGCTGATGCACTCTTAAGGTCTCCATCAGGTAATTTGTGGATTTGACACCACATTTCCAACTATCCAGCTTCACCTTTTTTGGGTTTGAAAAACCATCATATTCAGTAAGCAACAATGTCGAGCCTTTAAAATCCCAAGGTCCCTGGTGCATCGCTTTGTTCCAATCCCCCAGGCAGTTGAATTGGATAGAGAACAAGTTCACATTGATCCTCCTCCAAACAACTTGATTCGCCGGGTTCCAGGCTGCTTTCATGTCCGCATCAGAGCACTCTGGCTAAAGGTTTTTGCTGTCAACAGTCGGCCTAGGGCTAGCCACTTTGGCTTGATTTCCTCCACATCATCCTCTTCCTCCCAGATCAGATCATCTATCTCCTCATCCTGCAGATTCAGACCCTCCAGGAGTGTTGCCGCTTCCTCCGATCTCCGATCCCCCGATCCACTACTAGCACCCGTGTCCGCCATGACACCCCTGGGCGGAACTCCAAACCAAAACCCTAACCTCGAGCTCACTAACCCCAAGGGCAGACCCGATGGGAGGGAGGAGACGGGCCGGGAAGAAAGATCAGTAGTCTTGCGGGATTAGCCCCGTCGATGGTGGGAACTCACGGCGGCGGCGCCACCGGGAGGACTAGAGAACCCTAGTCGCGAGACCTAGGGGTAAAAACTCTCGAAGGAGAAATAACTAGGCTGATTTGAGTTATTTCAAGAAATCAACTGAAACATTAAAAAAATCAACTGAAATTGAATTGGGTCGATCAATTTTAATTGTACTATTTTTTTAGAATCGATTTTAATTATACATGAATGATATCGGTCCATCAGATCAGGAATCAATGACGAATCAGAACTCAGTGACCCAAATTCAATCAATTGCTCTACAGCGGTTCCTTTACTTTTCCCTCTCTCTCGTCAGCCAGCCGTTACGAGGCATAGCAGCTGCTACATCCACTCACACCATTGCACACCGAAAGGCGCTACAAAAACCCCAAAGCAAAACGGCAGATACGGAAATACTACCTCAGCATCGGCGTCGCGCCATGGTGGCGGTGGGCGCCGGTGACGACGGCTGGGCGCGGCTCACCTCGCGCTCTGACTCCGCGGAGGGCCAGGGGCGGAGGCAGGAATGGGAGGTGGAGTTCGCCCGCTACTTCGCTTCCCCCCTGCGCGACACGTCGCCGCCGCCGCCGCCGCCGCCCGGCGTCCGTTACGTCACCAGCGCCACGGATTGCCATCCCGGCGCCTGGCTCCCAGCCGCCACGCCTGCCGCTCTTCGCGTCTCCCGCTCCAGCCACCCCTCCGCGGCCCCAGTCCTCACCGTCTCCGTCGTCGGCGTCGTCTTCGTCCGTACCGTCTCCCTTCCCTTCCCTTCCCCTCTTCTTATCTGCGTGGCTGCTTGGTGTTATGTGTTTGGTGAATGCGATTAGTTGTGCGCGCTTGTTTGTGAAGGAATTTGGGGATCGGACGGATTGGTTGTGGTTTTGACGAGTCGTGTTACATGTGCTCTGAATTCATTTGCTTCATGAACTTGTGAGGATGTGCTGGAATATCATACTTCACGCACTCTGATTTCGTTTCGTTGAAGTGGTCGTGGATTGTGATGGTGTGGATTTTGAAAGAGGACCTGATGCCCCCTTTTTTTTAATGAGGATACCCGATGCCCTGATATTTGTGTATTGTACTCCACTGTGTAGGTGGAATCCATTCATGTTTTCATGCAATCAACAAGTGTAAAAACAAGGCTCGTTATCATCCTAGTATTTTATATATATGTGTATTTTTTTCCCATGCACGTACTGTACCTCTCTAATCTGCAAATCGTGCCTGAGAAAAGAAATGGTGAATGCTGTATTAGTGTTCAAGACATGAGGTGAGGCGTCAGGGATATTAATGTTTCTGTGTGTTCATAATGTTGTTATTTATAGTAAGTTTGTGGAATTGTTCTGCATAAACATATTTGTTCTTTGGTCAGATTTCTATATCGAGTCCTGCCATACCATCGTTTTGTACCAATTTTTCGGGCATTCTGTCCTGTGTGCACTATTGGTCTTTAGGTATTTACTGTACTCCCTCCGTCCCATAATATAAGAGCGTTTTTTACACTACACTAGTGTCATGGCCTTTAGGCAGAGAAATTTTTTTACACTACGCTCTTATATTATGGGACGGAGGGAGTAATAATTATAATATGCATATGCTTCATGGCCTTTAGGCAGAGAAAATTAACTTGATGTTCTTTTTTTTTATCTCAGTGGGTGCTGTAAATAATTCTGAAAAGAAGTCCCATGTGTATATGTGGGATAACCTTGAGAACCTGCAAAGTTTTGTGAAAAATGCTTTCGTTTTGTAGCTAGGGTGGGGATCCTAGTTCTTCAACAATTTCTTCTAAATTGCATGTTTATTGTTATGTTTATTATTCTACAGAAGTTACACAAGTTTGCGAAGTCCCTATTCTAACATTGTTTTGCTGGATACCCCCTTTTCTTCACTTAACTAGTTAGCATTGCCGCCTTTTGCTTGTGGCACAGGAGGAGCACTTTGTGTCTATCCTCAACTTCTCATGGCCTCAGCTCACATGTGGGGGACAATGCCCAGGAAGTGGGAGCAGGGTGCTCTTTGTGAGCTTTTGTGATAAATCCAAGCAGGCAAGTCTTGTATAACTCAAATGTGATTCTGCTGACTGGCTTAGTTGAGTGCTGTACTGCACTGACTTGGTGACTTCACTGACTTGCCTATAAATTTGAAAGTATTCAGAACAGATGGAGGTTGTGTTCATATGATGTTTATGCACATGGCGTTTTCACATTCTTAATAACAAAAATATGTGTACAGTCATGATCACATCAGTTACTCTCGCTGCAGATACAGAAGTTTGCTCTACGTTTCCCACAGCTCAGTGATGTGGAGTCGTTCTTAAATTGTGTGAAGGTGGAATTTCCTCTCTTTCTGAAATCCTAACCATGTGAAGCTGTGACGTTATGTGGAGTCTTGGGACTTCTTATGCCATCTTTTCTTACTGGCTCCTTTCCATGGTCACTTGTAATACAGTATTACACATGCTGTATACTTGTATTCAGAATGGAAAGTTGGAGATATCATTATGACATCTTTTAAGTGTAGTTGCTTATTCTTTGTATGAGCTTGTACAGAGAAATAAAAATGTAATATCAATCTGGGGAACATAGGTTTTCTTATGTGCGTAATGAAACCTCTTGATCATATCAATTTTTTTATGCCAACTACCAAATAAAGTTAGTCTTATGCAAAGGACAGCAGGCAGTTGTAGATCAACAGTACATATAATTATGTGCGGACCAGCAATCTTTCGAAAAATTCCTTAGTAATTAGTATTTACCGAATTTGTGCTACCTTTTCTGAGTTATGTACAACCAATATTTGATGGGTGTATCCATTCTTCACTAATGTTGAATGTACATCCCTAATGTAATACTACATATTGTTACGGTGCTGGATGGAATCATGTAGGTGCTTTGGGCACTCCAGCTCAGTTTAACTTCACTACATTTGCTCCTGTGCCCAGATTACCTTTTTTGAAAGTAAGAAATTGCGGTGGTGATAGTTATCACTTAGCATTTCTGCACAACTTAAATTGCAGGGGTGCTACGCCACTACTGCAGTTGTGAAATTGACCATTCATGCTAGTTATAGAATATATTTTAGTATACAGAGAAAGGAAGATCTTCACTAGTTTTGATTTTGCTTTGTGAGCTTTGTCAAGCACTAAATTAATTTCTGTTGTTGGTTAAAAGGAATGCTTAGGTGACACCATGGATATCGCATCATCTGGATGCGACTACATATGTGAAGATTCATCATCACGATCAGAATATATTGCTTCCAATGAACTTCCCCACAGGTGAAACACTAGAGCTGTTTTGGGTTTATATGCTGCACAACATAATCTCTGTGATAACATAATACTATAATGCATGGGCCTGATGATGCTTCAAGCTTTGAGGAGCCAGCTTCAGATCACAGGACAGAGGCACCAGCATTATGCTACCATGAGGAACCAGACCTGCCTGTTTCTGAACCTCTCCTTACTTCCAACATTGACAATATCAACTCTGGTTTCCCTCTTAGTTTCACTGAAATGCTGACAAATTTGTCAACTGAGACTAAATATGGTTAGTGAGTTCCTGTTTGATTAGGTTGTACTTAAAGCACATTTTATTTATTTTGTTTTTTCTTGGTTGCATGAAAGCATTGTGCATGTACGGATCAGATGCGGTGGACCTGCATCAACTGGGTGGAACTGACCATCCTCAAGAGGTAATGTATGGCGGATCAGATGCGGAGGACCTGCATCAAACTGACCATCCTCAAGAGGTAGTGCATGCCGGATCAGATGCGGAGGACCTGCATCAAACTGACCATCCTCAAGAGGTAGTGCATGCCGGATCAGATGCGGAGGACCTGCATCAAACTGACCATCCTCAAGAGGTAATGTATGGCTAAATACTGCAAATTTTATGTTCACCTGACCATCCTATAACAATAAGCCGAGCGATTCTGGCCCCTCTAGTCTCGTCTTTTTAAATACTGCAAAAAAATCTACGTAAGTAATATTCTTTATATTTGTAATTTTTGCAGGTGTTCACACAAGACACTTGTCATGATGGTACAAAAAATTTCAGCTTCATTTGCTGCTTATCTGTCTTGACGTTTCCATTTTTTCTGACATGTATACAGTATTTCCTTCAATGGCAGCTGCCTGTAATGAAAATACTGCTGATAAAGAAACTGATACTAGCAAGTCAACAAAAGAAATTGATACTAGTAAATCAACAAGTGATATTATGGCAAGGATAAAGGTATTTTGTTCTCATCGAGAATCTCCAAGTTGGTCCGCTAGTTTTTCCCTCTTAATCCAACATAGAGTTATCTTATGTTTATTGTTTTACTCTTGCAGACATATATGGCTGACGAGTCATTCCATGGTATGCTTTCTACCCCTCTTCTTGCAGTACTAGTAAAGTAATAAGATAAACAAAAGGGAAAACATAAAATCATTTTTCTCAGAATTTTCATCACCACTACATAGAATCCTCATTTGGAAACCCATGCGATGATTTGTATTACCACTGCATAGAATCCTCGCTTCACCGCCCTGTGTTGTATTGATTTTGTGCCTTCCCTTTCCTAGATATGCTGTCCAAGCTTGAGAGAGTCATTGATGAACTGGGTGTGGACTTGTCAGTCTACTCCTAGACACATAGGCAAACCTCCTCATTGCCGTGTGAAGCCTCTGTTTTCCCTGCTCCGCTGGAAATTGAAATGCAGAATGTGGTGCTAGTTCACTCGGTGGTTCCTGAATTGTTGCTTCTAATCCTAGCAATGTAGTCACGTACGCATGGATAGGAACTTAGTGGGGTTTATATATCGTGCATCATTGTGTTATGTACATTTGTGTGTTGTGTTATGCTCCTTATGCTGCTGCGTGAGAACAGATGCTACGAAAATAGCAAATCATGTCGTACATGTGTTGGTTTATAAATATATGTATAAGTGGTCCTGCATAATGATACAGGATCAAGGGTCGTTGATAAAATACTACTAGCATTGTAGTATGGGTAAAACGGTAGAAGTACTAGCTGAAGAACAAGTGACGCAATACTTGTTACCAGTACCAAGGGTTGGTTTATTCGGTTTCGGTGAACGTACAAATTATTCCCAGTTGATAAGTAAACGTACAAACGGCACAAGCATGACATATATGAGTACATGATTGGCTCAAGCCATATTCATCATTAGACCGAAGACAGTAATAATAATAAAATGGCGACCAATGCAGCAGTGAAACTTAAACTTGACAGCTGCGCCGGAGTGGGTATATGTCATGGAGTAGGAGAGCAGATGGAGATGGAGACGGATGGCAAAGGCAACTTAATTAGTTCTGCTGGAAGCCACGGATGAACCAGTTGATCATCTGGAGCATGGGGTGCTTGGGGGGCTTGAGAAAGTGGATGGGCATCCAGCGTACCCCCCTGGCCTTGTTCACCATCCGGCAGTCCCGCCTGATCTGCCCCTTGTTCTTCTTGATGATCACGTCCAGCGCGCTCACCTTCTGCATCGCCTCCCCGAACCTCTGCTGGAACAGCGCGTCGTCCTTGGCGTACTGCTCCACCAGCGGCCTCGTCTGCGGGTCCAGCGCCAGCGTGTTGTCCGAGGTCAGCAGGCTCCGCCGCGCCAGCAGCTCCTGGTAGTAGGCGTTGTCCAGCTTCTCCCCGGTGCGCTCGTCGAAGTTCACCTTGGGCGCCTGCTGCGGGTTGTCGTCCGGCCTGGGCCGCGGGCACATCTTCCGCAGCCGCTGCGCGAACGCCGGATCCAGCGACGGATCGATGTCCGCCGTCTTGGAGAAGCCGTAGATGCGGTTGGAGAACATGAAGCAGTGCGCGCCCCCGATGGAGTGCGCCCCGGAGAGCGTCACCAGGTCCTCCTGCGACAGGCCCCGGCTCGCGAACAGCTCCGTCAGCCGCGGCACCGTGTGCCCCGGCACCGGGAAGTTGCCCGGCAGGTCGTCCATCCGGGAGTGCGTGCCGTCGCGCCGCCCGCCGGCCACCTCGTAGCTCGGCAGCCCCGCCGCCACCGCCGCGTCGCGCGCCGCGAACGACAGGATGTCGGAGCACGACACCGTGCGCGGGCACATGGCCTCGATGCTCGCCTTGGCCACGTCGATCGTCTGCAGGCCGTGCAGGGTGAACCCGTTCGCCGACGACTCCTTCTCCGGGATGTCGCCCGACGGGGACTCGTCCAGCAGGATGGACGCGTCGCACCCCTACACCAAAGCAAGCACACCGGCCGTGATAATCAAGAAACATTCTGCGTTGGCTGCCTGGCATGGCTCGTGGTGATCACGGATCATGCATGCATGCATGCATACCGTGATGAAGCAGTCGTGGAAGAAGATGCGGATGAGGCCCGGGGCGATGGTGTGGTCCATGGCGTAGTCGTTCATCACCACGTCGCGGACCACCTGCTCGGCGTCCGGGCACGTCCTGTTGTAGAACCCCACCCTCAGGCCTTCCACGACGACCGCCTCCACGACGGCGAGGCGCGGGGCCGTCGCCAGCGCAAGGGAGAGCAGGAGCAGCGTCGCCATCGAGAGCCGCGACATGCCGGCCGGGTCAAGCAGCACAAGGGAGAAGAGGTGAGGCGAGCTAGAGGAGATGGCTCGACGGAATGAGCTGCATTTTCGTCGGAAGCAGGGGGGCTGTGGAAGCTTAAGTGCGTGTTTGTTTCGAGAGGTCGAGCAACTTAGGCCTCATATTCTTTGGCCGGCCACTTGCTTTTTGTGGAGGCTGTTCTAAGAATAGGCCCGTCGACGGACGGTCAAACGAGTCTGGATATATTTGACAGCTACTAAAAAACACAGAATGTTGTTTACGCAGTGTGATAACCACATGCAAAAATGTGTAGGCTAAAATGTTGGGGAATTGTATGCACCCCCAGAAAATCAAGGTGGTTTTTAGGTATTCAAGAGCTCTACGTCAAAACACAACAAATTTCTTCTCATTAAGTGGTTTTTCGGAATTTCTCAGTTCTCACCGGAGCAACTCTAGCAGAGTCATCATATCGGCCCAATCAGCATAATAACCACGAATAGGTTGATTTTGATCAAAAAGATCACTCTAGCAGAGTCACAATTCTAATTGTTTCCTTGCAGAATTTGCACACACAATGAGGGTAACAGAGAAGTGTAATGCTTACAGGTTCATTGTTGTTGCATTGGAGGTCATGATCGGGAAGCATCCCCCGTGAGTTTCTAACCTCTTCGCCCACGATTTCTTAATCACAAAATGATGATTTACTCAAGGGCATGTTGGACCCGCGCTTCAATCATTTAGCAAAACAACCTGCAAAAGATGTTGTGTTCATCGTCAGAATATCACTTGCTTGCACCAGGGTTAATCCTTAATCAAGGACTCCAATATGATATGCAACACATGCATAGGCTTAACACTCCCGAGCATTTAAACCTATCGCAATAAACAAGTTAACCGTCATTGACAAAGCTGGGTGGAGGTAGGGGGCCATCGCCCCCTGCCTGGGACCAAATTGTGAAGATTTTTTTTTGTTTTGGAAAGGGCTTTGTTTGAATAAAATACTATGTAGAATTCTTGTTGGGGACTTCACTGAAATACACCTTTAGCAATCCAAAGAGGTAAATAACAATATAATCAATGAGAAACCAAAATTCAAGAAAATGCTCTTTCGGTCAATGTCATTGCATAATCCAGACACTACTACCTCCGTCCGAGCTTAAATGGTCGTTTGGCCACACAGTCGAGTCCACCTTTTTAAGGTCGCATGCATGCAAGAGCCTAGTACTATAGCTAGTTGACTCGAAACAAAAAGTGAGTGCTACCTCCATCCAGGTGCATAGGGCGTCAAATAAAAATTTAGTATTCCAAATATGTGAGTCACCATGCACGGAAGGAGCTCCTCATTCCCCGCGATCATTGATTTTCATTTTACATGATGCTATTTTCATTGGTTGACATATTAAATAGGACTTGCATGCCGCTCTTAAGGAATTAATGACATGAAAACCCAACATAATGGTTGGCTCTTCCTAAAGGAACTACTCACACATGGTCATGGAGGCAGCAAGGTTGATGAAGATGGCTCCGACAATGGCTTCTCCTCTGGCAAGGCTCTGGAGTAGGGCTCCAGATAGGATCTCTTCAAAACAAGGGCTTACAACGACAAATGGTTTATTTATATGAATTTATGGCGGTGGGATTGGACTAAGGTGGTGCTTGTGGGCCCCACATGGACAAGGGGCGTGGTCACCTCCTGGCTGCGCCACCTATCCTTGTGGGTCCCTCGTGACTCGTCTCAATCTCTCCCTAAGCTTCTTGTGTTTCTTGTTGCCCAAAAAATCATGTTAAATCGGCAACATATTTTGACCTCCATAGATATTAACTTCCTGCAAAACCAAAAACAAGCGGAAAACAATAACTGGTAGTGGGCACTAAAATAATAGGTTGGTCCATGAAAATAATATAAATTGCTATAAAAATTATATAAATATGATAATATAATAGCATGGAACAATAAATATTATGAATACGTTTGAAACGCATCAGTGCCTGGTGCCGGTGATGTCTGCTACGCAACTTTATTCTAATAGACTCTGTTGGGTCTTCAAGCGCAGAGTTTTGTAGAACAGTAACAAATTTTCCTGAAGTGGATGAACTAAGGTTTATCAATCCGTGGGAGGTGCATGATGAAGATGGCCTCTCTCAAACAACTATGCAATCAAATACAAGAAATCTTTTGTGTACCCAACACACCTAATACAGTTGTCAATTGTATAGGTGCACTAGTTCAGCGAAGAAATGATAATAGAAGCGTAATATAGATGATAGAAACATGTTCTTATAATCTGAACAACTAAAAACAACAAGGTATATCAAGTAGGAAAAGCGAGCAAAACGTTGTCTCAATGCTTAGAAATAAGGCCTAGAGTTCATACTTTCACTAGTGCAATCTCTCAACATCATTAACATAATTGAATCACATAACAATCCCTCAAAGTGCGGCAAAGAATCACTCCAAAGTCTCTATTCCTATCAAAGAAAGTATGATGAAATCGTTTAGGTAGTAAACCACCTCAAAGTTGTGTTTCCAATCAATCTTATGAACCGCCCCAAAGTGTCATGAATAGTTCTGGAGATCGTACTACGACAACACCATATGATACACATCAATCAACTCTAATGTCAACTAGATAGCCCAATATCACCACAAGTATCTGCGGGTGAGACATGCACCATGTGATCTCAAATACAAAATATTCAATCTAACATAAAGAAACCTCAAAGAGCAAGACTCAATTCATCATGAATATAAGAGAGGGAGGTGAACATCGTGTGATCCAACTATATTGATAAAACTCATGATACATCAAGATCGTGCCAAATCAAGAACACGAGAGAGAGAGAGAGAGATCAAACACATATATAGCTACTAGTACAAAGCCTCGGCCCTGAGGATGAAGTACTCATGCATGCATCATCCATGGAGGCGGCAAGGATGATGAAGATGGCCTCCATGGTGGCTTCCCCCTCCGACAGTATGCTGGAAAAGGCCTCTATATGAGATCGCTTCAGAACAGAGGCTTGTGGCGACAGAGTAAAAGTTCTAGATTTCTTTCCGGGGGTTTCTCAATTTATAGAATTTTTCAACGTTGAAATCAGGCCAAAAGGAGTTATGAGGGACCCACAAGCTCAGGTGGCACTCCCGTCCTCATAGGGCGCGTCATGTGAACTTGTGGTCACCTCGTGGGTCTTCTGGTCGTTCCTCAAAGCTTCGGGAGTCTCTTGTGTTACAAAAAAAGGTCAAAAAGTTTCGTCGTATTTGGACTTCGTTTGATATGGTTTTTCTGTAAAAACCAAAAACAAGAAGAAAACAAGAATTGGCACTAGGCACTAGATTAAAATGTTAGTCCATAAAAATAATATAGAAGTGCATCAAAACCATGTAGAACTCTTGTAAATATAGCATGGATACTTCATAAATTGCAGATATGTTAGAGACGTATCACCTGACTACCAGGGTGCATATATATTCTTCGTGCAACAAGCCAGTGAGGATAAGAATGTGACACCTGTGGCGCTAGAGAGCAAGGAAGAGATGTGACGAAACCTCGACTTCTTGTTGATGGATTTATGCATTGTTGCTCCTTTGAATTTCTTGCTCAAAGTAGTAGATGCATAGGCAGGGAAGTGTGGGCAATGGCATTGAGTTGTGGACGACATGGAAGGTGAAGCGTTTGGAGTAAGAAGACGATGAGTAAAGGAGAGTTTGGAATAAGTGGAGTGGAGTCATTTAGCAGAAGTGGAAGCGCATGGGGTGGTAGAGGGGTGCGCAATTTAGCAAATAGGTGACAGGTTCATAGAGTAGAAATGAAACCATAGACCGGCAACAAAAATTATTATTTGTTCAATTTTTTATCATGGAAAGCTACATGCGCAACAAAATTAGTTAGCGAGGATCAATCCTTTATAGTAAATTTAAACTTCTGCAGTTATAAATGGATGACCAAGCATAAAAGTTGCGGATGGATGATCGGAGAGCATGGGATATGCGTGGAACCAGTATTAGTACCGAGAATTGACATGTCACAACATGTCTAAGAGCATCTCTAGACGACCCCTTAAAAAATAGAGGAGTAAACTGCCGAGTAAAGTTAGTGGAGTAATATTTTACTCCTCTATAGGTGGCCGGACATAGCTGATCCCCTAAACTTAGCGAAGTAAAAAAAGCATAAGTTTTTTATCCTAGCCACATGAACTTCAAACACTTACACAATATATCATTAAGCATTCAAATTTTTGAAAATAAACATGCATAACATATTAACCATTCACAAACATATAGTTTCACGGATCAAGATATTCAAATTAAAACCTGCATAATTCATCCAAAAGGCATCACTTCATCGATCAAGTTTGATCCAAACAACACAAGATAGCATGTTTTATATTGTGGATTGAGGCCAACCATTGACATGCATGAGCACGAGCACAAATTCAAACACCATCCTCGCCGAAGAAATCACCACCACCACCATATACATACCCACCATCATCACCACCACCATCCTCTCTGCTCACATAACCACCGCCACCACCATTCTAAAGAGAGACCTCCGTTTCGGTCAAGATCTCCCCACGAGTGAGCTCCCAATACTTTCATGCGATTTCATCCGTTGTGCTTGGGTTCATGAACATGATAACACGATCTTTGACTTGGCATCCCGAAGCCTCTCCTCCTCAAGTGCAAGTCTACGCTCCTCTGCCTTCAACTTTCTCTCTTCAGCCGCCAACTTGGACTTTGATTTCTTGTCCTCTAGCATCTTGATCTCATTACACCTTGTCATCTTCTCTTCTTTGTGTTCGACCGCCAACACCTTCTTGGCCTCAATCATGGCCACAAGTTCTTCTTTGTATGTGCCACCGAATGCACTTCTCCTCTTTCTCTCTTTTGCAATATTGTTCCCATCCGGTTTATTGTTGGCCTCTTCATCCACCTAGTCATCCTCCTCAACGGATATCGCCAACCTCGATCTTTTTGGAGTGGTCTCTGCAACTCTCTTGATCCACTTCT